AAATACTGAGTCCACTCTTCCTCAGGACGCTGACATGGCACACAGAATTCCTTGCCCCCATCAGAAAGGCTGAACCCTCTGCAATGCTCCATCTAGACATGGTATTTGTGCCTTGGCTGGCACTGCAGACATAGGAGTTTGGACTCTGGCCCATCGGCAGCAAGACAGAACCCCTCCCAGAAGGTGAAAGTTCTAGTGAGTCTTTTGAGAGCTCTTTATCTCTGTCCTCCAAGTATGATTCTTGTCTCTGAATCTCCATCACTGGGTGGTTTAAAAATGCACATTTTGGAACGATCCCCCAAGTCTATTCTCTATAGTAGGGAGTCAGAATCTACACTTTCACCATCTTTCTGGGTGATTGCTATGTACACGTCCATGTAGGAAGTGTACATTCTAAAAATACCGGAAAAGGGGCACCTGGGTGGCTCAGTCGGTTGGGAGTCCGACTTCGGCTCAGGTCATGATCTCGCGGTCCGTGAGTTTGAGCCCTGCGTCGGGCTCTGTGCTGACAGCTCAGGGCCTGGAGTTGCTTCGGATTCTGTCTCCCTCTCTCTCTACCCCTCCCCTGCTCACATTCTGTCTCTCTCTCTCTCGAAAATAAAAACATAAAAATACCAAAAATGAATATACGTTGGCTCCTAGAGACTTAAGGGCTACTCTTTTAAATCCTGCCAAGTTTCGAATTTATTTTCTTTCGATTTGTAATTTCAAATTGTTTCTTCCCTGTTGGCTTCATTTCCTTTTTTCTCCTTAAAAATTCTAGTTCTTTTATTAACCTGCACTGATGGATACAAATTGTGAAACCAACTCAAATTGGCTTAAGCAAGAATGTAGAGGATCAAGCAACTGAAGAGGCCAGCAGTACATGGCATCAGTGGCTCAGGCAGGAGTATTAGGCAGCTCTTTCATTTCTGCTGTCCGCTTTGTAGACTTAATTCTAAGTCAGGTCTTGCCAACCTGTGTCGAGATGGCCACGAGCACCTGCAGCATGAGAATCCGTCAGCTTAATAATTTCAGCATCCAGAAGATAATTCCAGCAAACACTTGTATGCCTGACATTCATTTGCTTTGGATCAGGCACCTGACCCAATAAGAAAGGCAAGAGTGATAGCCCTGTGACTTGGGCATACCACATGAGCTCGGTGTGGGTTTAAGTCAGTCCCCACCTGGACCACAAGGACTTTGATGGGTTGGATTTCCAAAGGGAAGTCTGAGAGCTGGTTCTAGAGAAAGAGGGTAGAAATGAATTGCAGGGAAAGACCACAGGCGTCCTCCTCAGTGGTGGCAGATTTTTGGTGGAAGCGGTTGTTTAATAGGCTCCATGTGCCCTCCATCCAACTTCTGAATTAGCTTCATTCTCTTGTGCATCATTGGGAGCGAGTCATGAGAGAAAGATTTGAAAACGGCCTTTCATTATTCCTCAGTCTGCTTTCAGAAATCATGTCTACAGGAGAATTACTGTGGGAGGTGGAAAATAACCACAACTCCTGATTCTTAACGTTTTAAAACCCCGTGGAGACTGACGTTTAACATCCTCATAAAAATTCAGCCAGAATGTCAGCAGCGCCATTTGTAGATACGTTGATGACATCATCTCTTGATGTTTCCAGTTAATAAGAAGGCAAGGAGATTCATGTACTTCGAGTCTTCTTTTTAAACCCAAGTCAAATTAGTCCACCCACATGATACTGTTCTGGGGGTAACTGTCTTGTTTTTTGCAAGAACATTCCCTTACTTTTCCAAAAGAAGCTAGAATCTGACTCACTGGGATAGCTGTGTCTATGCTCTAAAGTTTTATATACTTGCCAGCTTGATGTGTCGGTTTTTGATCTTTGCCACTGTCTACCAAAAATGTTCTGAATAATTGTTACAAAAATGGAGAATGATGCCACCCTATCTGTGTTTTCTTCTTGCTGTCCAAGGCCTGCTGAGTCATGAAACCAAATGACACCTAGGAGTGAGAGTGTGGCTCAGTCTGTGTTTCGATGCCCCTATTGGTATAAGAGACATTAGGGTTTTAGTTCTGAATTTGTTTCTTCTTTGGCATTTCCAAGGTTTTGAGCAGTGTTATTTGAGCATGTCTTTCTCTTCTTTCTTTTTAAGTGCGATAAATGCGGTCTGTCATTTTGATGTTTTCTATTAAGAGAACTTCCGTCTAAATAAAACAATAGAGTTGATGGCCAGCAGTTGGGAAAGAGAGGGCTTTTAAGAATATAGATGCAGACAGTAGTGAACACCTGCTTTGAGGTATGATTGATGAATTTTTCTCTCTCTATCTCTCTCTCTCTCCTCCTGTCTCTGCAATTTGACAGCCGATTCCGGTGCCCAGGAAGAGCACACTCTCCAAGAAACAGCGTTACCGCCTGTGAATAGTAGCATCGTCGCTGCTCCCATCACGGACGCTTCTCAGAAGTTCCCTCAATACCTACCTCTTTGTGCAGAGGATAATTTAGGTCCTCTACCCGAGAACTGGGAGATGGCGTACACCGAAAATGGAGAAGTCTATTTTATAGAGTAAAGTATACCCTTCGTCCTCTCTGAAGCTGTCCCTTTATGTCGTCACTCTTCCTTCTCGCCCCCTAGTGGCTACGGTTGTAAATTACATCTGAAAGGACTGATTTTGCGCTGATGGTTTTCTTTCATATAGTTTCACAGGCTTTGTGCCAAAAAGCAATCAGCACAGCCTCCCAATCACTGAGTCTGAGGATCTCAAAGAAGCTTAAGTTAATAATTTCCCTCAAGAGTGAAACAACCATATTCTGGTGTATATATAAATTAGGGCATAATATATAAAGAACATATGGAGCCATTCAGTAAATTCTTTGGTTACTTTTTTTTAATTGGGTTGCAAGGGCTTTAGGGTTTTTTGTTGTTGTTTTTCTTTTCAGTTGAGTTTTAAGAGTTCTTCATACATTCTGAATACAATTCCTTTAACATTTTTGTGGTTTGTGAACATTTTTTCCAAGTCTGACTTTTCATTGTCTTGACTGTGTCTTTTGAAGAGCCCCAAGTTCTTAATTTTGAGGAAGTCTGATTTATCAATGTTTTTCTTTTGTGGGCTGTGCTTTTAGTGTGCTGGCTGAGAAGTTTTTGCCTAAATCAAAGTTATAAAGCTGTCGTTGTCTGCCATCTTTGTTTTAGAAGTTTTATTGCTTACATTTTCCATTTAGGTGTATGATCCATTCTAAGTTGATTTTTTTTTTTTTTACACGGTGCAATTACATGGATTGAAATTTGAGAATATGGTAGCCTCCCTTCCCCAGTCCCTACTCTGTAGTCTCACGTGGCACAGTTTTAGTCACTCATGGTCAACTGTGCTCTGGAAACAGATGATCCTCCTGACACATTGTCACAAGGTCACTAGTGGCCTCATGCTACGTCACAGTGCTTATGTCATTCTCCTCATTTCATCTCATCACATAGGCATTTTATCATCTCACGTCATCACAAGAAGAAGGGTGAGTACAGTACAATAATATACTTTGAGAGAGAGAGGCCACATTCACATAAATTTTATTATAAGATATTGTTATAATTGTTCTTTTTTATTAGCTATTGTTAATTTCTTACTGTGCCTAATTTAATAAATTAAACCTCACCATAGGTATGTATGTATAGGAGAAAACATAGTATATTTAGGGTTTGGTACTATATATAAATCTACAGTTTTAGTCATCCGCTGGAGATCTTACAACTTAGCTTCTGTGAACAAAGGTGGATTACACTATACAGATGTGAAAAATCTTTCAAAATTATAAAACTTACATATATCTATGTGTGTATACATATGCATATACATATATACATATATATATATGTATATGTATATATGTATATATAAGATATTACTAAAAGTTAAACATTTAAGGGGAGCCTGGGTGGCTCAGTCAGTTAAGTGTCGAACTTTGGCTCAGGTCATGATCTCGCACTTTGTGGGTTCAAGCCCCGTGTTGGGCTCTGTGCTAACAGCTCAGAGCCTGGAGCCTGCTTGGATTCTGTGTCTCCTACTCTCTCTGCTCCTCCCCTGCTCATACTCTGTCTCTCTTTGTCTCTCAATAATAAATCAACTTTTAAAAAAATGTTTTTAAAATTAAGCATTTAATAAGTAGTTTACTAAAAATGGAAAAATATACAAACAATTGAAATTATTCTAAGAATCTCAGGTAATAGCATTTTTTCTCCAATAATAGTCATCTTTTTAAAATTTGTTTTAAAATTTTTTTTAATGTGTTTTTATTTTTGAGAGAGAGAGAGACAGATTGTGAATGGAGGAGGGACAAAGAAAGAGTGAGACACAGAATGCAAAGTAGTCTCCAGGCTCTGAGCTGTCAGCACAGAGTCTGACGTGGGGCTCGAACTCACAAACCATGAGGTCCTGACCTGAGCCAAAATCAGACGCTTAACTAACTGAGCTGCTCAGGGGCCCCACTAAATTTGTTTTTTAATGTTTATTTAATGCGATCAGCACAGAGCCTGACACGGAGCTTGATGTCATGAATCATGAGATCATGACCTGAGTCGAAATCAAGAGTGAGACACTTAACCAAATGAGCCATCTGTGTGCCACAATAATACTCAGTTTTTAAAATGCTACACTTTGGCTCTATTATTAAG